TTTTCCCTTTGGCTCATTAAATACCTCATTTGCTATCACTGAACTGACACAGCAGTTCCAGCACGAAGTCTAAAAAAATAAAACAGCTTTAGGTGCTAAACAAATTTTTTAAAATACAAATTCAGCCCATTTTCTGCGCATAACATTTTGGTTCCTGACCATACAGTACCTGTGATTTTACTGTGTGTTGTGAGACCTCTGTATGTGCATTGTCGGCTCGACAGACAAATGCATCTGCACAGACACGTTTTTGCATCGACACGGAGGTTTTATAGGACACGGGAATTCAGTGAAGTTGGAATAACGTGCCTGTCTTTGATGCACTTTATAAACTTACATTCGTACATCCCAGCGTACAGGCAGTGCCCTGTGATGTAAACACACGTGGATAGACATCACAGGCACCTCATCCGAGGGCACGGACACCCACGAGCACGGACGTTATCGCAGGCCAGGACTCAATCCCCGGTTCCTGCGTCTCCTTTGGCACCTCAAAGCTGCTGCTCTGCGGGGAGAGCAGCCAGTCCCCACGTCAAAGCCCCGGCTCGATCCCCCTTTGCCAAGTTCCTGCCCAGGCCAAGGAGAGGACGCGCTTTGCGCTCGTTCCCTCTGTGCTTTTTCCCAAATAAATCACGCGGGGCGGGTGGGGGAGAATTGATAGATTATATTTGCAGAATTCGGATAATTTTTTTTTTTTAAGAGTAAAGCGATCTTAAATCCTCGGCAATTTTTGTTGAAGCGCTAATTACACATCACCTTAATTAGCGGATCAACCCCCCCTTCCCTGCCCAGCATCCCTAATTGCTTAATTGAACAGATCCGGGGCAGGACGGGGGGGGGGGATCCAGCGACGGCGGGGACCCGGCGGCGGCCCCGCATCTGCGCGGGGCTCCGCACCCGCGGCGGTCCCGGGGAGAGGAGCCCGGGAGAGCCCCGGCGAGCTCCCGGCTCCCGAGGGAAGGGGGAGCCGGACCGGGCACGGCTCTCCCCGGGGCCGGTGTCCACAGCTCTGGGTAGGGACAGGGCACAACAAAAGGCTTGGAAATAGGAAAAAAGCCTAAGCGGCCGAAAGCGCCATAAATTTTCCTCCTTCGTGTGTTCCAGCGTTGGAACCGTCTGTGGGAGCACAAACAGAGCCGCACGCCGGGAAGTGGCGCTTGGGCTGCAGCCTCTGCTTTCCCTCCTCTCCCGCTGCCTTTTCCCTCCACAGTCTCATCACCCTTAATTTAAAAAAAAATTATATACATGTATATATACGTATATCAGTAAACGGGAGGTCTGTCTCCTCTTCGAAGGCGAAGCCTTAAATCGAGAGGCAGGTCCCGGGGAGCGCAGGGCTGGATTCACAACCATTTCCCCGCCACTCCAGCCTGCCCGCAGGATGCACCGGCTCTGCCTGAAAACTCCCGCTCCAAACTTTGCCTCGGTCGTATTCCTAATAGTGAAAAGCAACCGGGACCGTAGAAATATTGGTCACCGTTTGCCAGCACGAGCACTTATTTAGAGCCTGCGATCCTGGCCAGCCGCGTGTGGCTGGGAATTATATTTGCACTCTGAAATTCAGGGATTTCGAAAGGAAACGAATTTGCTTTCGGCGCGCAGCACCCAACTCCTGTGTTATTTGCCTCCTCTGCATCCTCTCGCCAGCAGCAGCGAGACCCCCGGCCGCTGCAGGACCTTCTCCCCACTCACCCATATTTTATTTTCTCGCTGAAGGGCGAGGCCCGCGGAGCCGGGACGCGGCGTGGCCTTCTCCTGCCTGCCCTTCTCCTGCCCGTCCCGCACATCCCCCGGAGCCGCGGGCACAGCCCGGCCCTGGCGGGATGCGCATCCCGGGGGGCTGCGGGGGCACCGCTCACCTGGGCACCCCCGGGGCTGCTGCGCCTCCCGCACCCTGCCCGAGCCTCGTCTTTTGATTTACAGCCATTACTCGAGCCTCCCAAGCCAGAGGGAAGCCACAAAGCGAGCGAAAACCATTCCCGGTCCCGCTTCAGCTCCGCTGCCTCCGGTACCTGCCGCTGTCCCGGGGAGCCGGACTGAAAATTGCCGAGAACTCCTCTCCCACCCCAGCGCACACGCGTTCGTCCCCTTTCCCAGCCAGGTAATAGAGTCGAATTCCCAGCGGAGCCTCACATCTGCTTAAAATATTGTCCAATGAAATGAAATTCTCCGGCACACCGTGTTTCGAACGCCCCGCGTCCCGCTCGGCTCGGCGGCCGCGCACCGGGGGTCGTGCGGGCTCTCAAGGCACCCGCACCCGCTCGTGGGGCCGGAGAGCCCAGGAAGGGCAGCTGGGCAGGGACCTGCGGGGTTCCGAGCCGTAACCCAAATTCTCGCCACCTCGCCGGTGGAAACACGGCGAGATCCCCACACTCGTGTCCGTGTTTAATCTGTTTCGCAAATAAATACTCCTGGGATATTGAAACCTTAGCTTCGGACTACTGTTTTGAACTGTGATCCCTAAAAAATCCTCAGCTGAAACCCCATAAACCGTTGGGCCTTGTATTGTATTAAACACCTGATTTTAATCAGGGCTCAGCCTCCGAACAGGCGCTTTCCAGGCGCGTTCGCGGCCGCTCCGCGGCTCCCGCGGCCGGGAAGGGCACGGAGCACCCGGGCACGGAGCTCCCGGCTCTTCTCCGGGCGCTTAAGATAGCCAGGCACCGAAAACCTCCCAGTCCCTAAGCTGTAGAAGCTCGTAGAGCTCACCGGGGGAGCCGGGGCAGCTGAACGCGGCCGGACCCGCATCGCGCCCACGGGGGCACATCTGCAAAAACCCGGCCCCGCACTGCACCCCCCGGGCACATCTGCAAACACACGGTGTCTTTTGCAGCAGCAAAAAGAAAGAGAAGGAGGGGAGGAGAAAAAAAGGGGAAAACAAAAAAGAATAAAAGTAAAAGAAATATTCCACTTTATTCAACCATTCAACTTCGCTTTTCCAGCCAAGAGAGCTGCGAAAATTACTTTTCATTTTAACAACCTAAAGCAATAAGTGATGACTTTTTAAAAAGTTATTATTTGAACGGGGGCGTTTAAAACGGGTGTTTATTGAAAAATAAAAAAAAATGAAATGAAATTCCAGCATTAATCGAAAAAAAAAAAAACCTTCCTCGCAGCGATGTGCTGACAGTGTTGACCACGCGAAGTGTAACCAATCCCACCCTGCGAAAGGGTTTGTGGCCGCAGAGCCGAGGAAGGTGTGCGGGGGGCACACGGACACGGCTGGGGAGCTGGGGGACCTTCGTGGAGCGCGACGGAAAATGTCGCTACACGAGGGTAAATCGCAAGGCCCGGGGCTGCTGCAAAACGGGAGCGGCGGCCGGAGCTCGGGGCCGGCGACAAACCCGGCGACGGAGCGACTTTGTGAGGAAAACTGGACCGAGGAGCCGCGCTGGGTTTGGAGAACGGGGTCCCCCCTGGAACGGGGGCGTCCCCCCCCGGGAAGGGGGGACTGCGGCTCATCGCGAGGGGCCGGGACCAGACCTGCCCGCTGACCTTGGCCGCTGGAAACGGCTCCGAATAACGAACTTGAATGACAAAATGAACCCCGGAGCCCACGTGTGCGAGCGCTGAGAACGCCCGGGACCCTTCGCCGGCCACGGTTTGAAGCTGAACCCCGAAGGGTGTCTGGCAGGGCCGCCAGAGCCCCCTCACCTGGGGGGATCCCCCTCACCTGGGGGGCTCATGGAGGGGGGTGCGGGGAGCCCCCCCTGCCCGGCTCTGGGCGCCTCCACATCCCCCGGGAGGCTCCCGTGGAAACCCACGCGGGTTCAACCGGAGCAGCCGCCGCTACTCCCCGGAGCCTCCTCCGGGCACTACGAGCAGAGTTTCTAGCGGGGCACAGACTGCGCTGGAACTTCTGCAGCCTCCAGATATTTCGCACGGAGCCAGAGCGAAACAGAAACTAAATAATAATAGTAATAATAATAGTAGTAGTAATAATAATAATAGTAGTAATAGTGATAATAATATACAAGAGAAGGACAGAAAAGCTGCCCGGGCTCCGGGATCCTGAGCTGCACCGAGCCTAACAGGGAATCGGCGAGGAACCAGCCCGAGCCTTTGCAACGGGACTCTGCGGGAGCGGGGACAGAGAAGTGCCGCTCTTCCCTACAAAAGCCACACTCTCCTCCTCGGAAAATCCATTCTGAAAACGACTCGAACGAAAGAACGGGAAAGGGTCCGCTGGAAGACGGAGGGAAAAGCTGCGCGAGACTTACGAGCTGCAATTCCACCCCCAAGTAAATTTTAAAAAATTAAAAATTAAAGACACTCCCCCACACTCCCCTCCCCCAGACCTTCTTAACCCCCAGCTGGGACACCCGAGCTGCCTTCAGGATCTTCCCTCTGGACCTGCGACTCCAAAGCCCCTCACTGAGAGCGGATCCATTTTTGCTACAAATTCTCTTCCTTCCCTCTGCTCGATAATTGTTCCCGAGACCAGAAGGGTTTCTCCCACCCCCCCCCTCGCCTGCCTCTGCCTGTGTCTCTCTCTCTCTCTTTCTCCCCCCTCTCTCCAGCGCTCCGTCTCTCCGCTCCCGCCGGCAGATGCCAAACGCAGACCTCTAGCGCCCACTATTTCAGGACCCGGGAATATTATTTCACAAGACTTGGAACGACTCAATAAAAAAAAAAAAAAAAAAAAAAAAAAAGT